GATCGCTAGAGAAGCAGATTCGAACGTAGACCTTCCCCTGTACAGACTAAATAGCTTATGCCCTCAATAAACCACCCATACTGGAAAAACTTAATACCCTTACAATTGCGTACGTTTTAAACTAACTATAGAAGGTGTACATACCAAATGGGGCCAGAATTAGGTCAGGGCTGTGTGCCCAGTATATGGAGTGTGTTTGACCTAAATCTAGTGACTGCAGGTACTGACAGTAAATATTGGTGTCTGTGTGCAGAGGGAGGGGAAAGAGAGAGTGATATATGTGTTAGAACTTTATCTATCTCCACTGTATATCTGACTTGCCTTCTCTTGCACTAAACAGACAGAGGAAAATAGGAGACTGATGTCTCTTGGTCTGGAGAGGCAATCTGAGGAATGAAACAGGAGAGCAGGGGGGAGTCAGCAGATGGGGGTTGATGACTGGTGCTTATTCTGTCTTTCCTGTCAAGATGTTACCCTCTTGGTGATGACTAATTGTGAGTTATTTTCTTGACAGGATGTACCTTTTGTGAGGAGCTGGCAGAAGTTTCACAGTCCAACCAACATCCACCAACCATCAAACCACCAGAAACAAACTGTTACCCACCAGCTAACACCTGTGAAGGTTCCTGACATCTCCAACATGTGGGAGATGGTACCTCAAACAGCCTACCAGTGCTAGAGCCTAGGGTGGCTCAAAAGACAATGTGTTCTAATTGGTGATAGAGACTTGCTAATTACCAGTGCAGTATTGTGTCCTCTATGGTGAGGTATTCTCTGACTATTTGATCCAGTGGAGCAGAATTCCCAGAGTCAAAGACAGTCGAATCATCCGGAGCTGAAGGAGGCATCATAGACAGAAAGGACAGAAGCTAAGTCTGATGCTCATTTGCTGTTTGTTTCCTCACAGCTCCATTGTTTCCAATAATGACATATAGTCACCTCCAGGACCGGCTGTCTGTATAGTTTCCTTGGGATCTAGACATTAGTTGCTGAGATTCTTTCACTGATAGCTGGAATTCACTTCAATATTCTATGTACAGATATTATACTAAATACATGCATTCATTTTCATGGCTGACTTAGGTTTCTCTATGTCACCTTCTTAAGTGTTTAGCAGTTGTATGTGTATGTATCTTCATTATATGTGTTAACATGGTTATGATAATGAACTATCATAACCTGGGGGCTTTCTTTAGTAAGTAGTGGGGGTGTCCAGCCAAGTGTGCCTAGAAATATTGTATTTATATACTGATATATTTTGTAGTGCCAATACTTGAGTTGCCCTACTCCAGAGATAAGTTGAGCGTATATTGGCCACGGGGAATCCTTTAGACCAATACGAGCCAAACGACTCAACATAATTATCTCTGAGTGCTGTTGGTTCTGAAGGAGAAATCCTTACATTAGGCACGCGACAGGAGTGATATGTGACAGTAATGTTGCAGTTTGCCTGCTAGTACTTTCTGCCCACTGTTTCCCCTCTCTCCCTCCCTCCCCCCTCTCTCTCTATCTCTCTCTCTCTCTGGGTCTTTAATTACCCATTCGACCTTTGATGTCTGTATCAGCTAACAAACTGCAACAACAGCAAGGTAAAAGTAGTGTGGTCAGACAAGAGCACTATGCATGCAGACAAAGAAGAATAAGAAACCATGCTACATGCTGCGGGATTTTACTGAAGAGAGGATCCGAGCACTTATGGACTGAATGGTTCGAAGTACAAAGAGAACAATCTGTCGACTAACTAACAATCTGTATCAGTTTCGTTCTGTGTGGTTATCATTTTGAAATGTTTTTTGATGACTGAAAAATGTCACAAATTTAGTCTAGTTTAGTCGACGGATTAACATCATGGCACACCGGTGTAAACCATAAGTGCTCCGTTGTACTTCTAACTTAAGCTTAAGTTAGAAGTTTCTTAGCACAGTGCACGAACTCCGCTCATCGTCCAGGACCTGAAATACTTTTGGTAGATTTTCAACTCCAAATTTTGCCCGGACAGCGCCGTTAGGCTACTGTTTTCGACTTCCAACTGCCAATGGATTTTTCACGTGCGCAACAAAACACACGGGCATCCGATCGTACTACCCACAGACCAGGGGAAAATTACTAGAAGTCCACATGAAAAATCCCAGCCTTCCACTGGGTTTGAACCCGTGACCTCAAGCACTAGAGGCGGATGCCGTACCTCGAGACCACGCATCCAATTTTACAAATTTAAAATATGTTGGATCCGTCATTAGTTAACTGGCGTTACACCTCTTAGAATTTTGTGGCTGTTGTTTTTCAAGTTAAATTTACATTCAATATTTTACCACTTCTTCCTAAACGATCGGAACATACTCCGCTATTTAAACTAACTCAAAGCAGTCAACCGCCATATCGCAAACAGCTAACTTTGAAGCCTAGTGTTGTTGAATTATGAAACGGCGTTGACAACACCTAAGCCAAAGACGCCGGGTTATAATAGTGATGGTGGAGGTGTATAAGAAAGAAGTTAACAAGGAGACCGGACATAACAATGTCGATGTTTAGAAGCTGTAAGAACCTATAGCACAACACCAACACAGACATTTAAAGAAAATGTAAAACAAAACAAAAAATAAACACATTTAAAATATATTAATTGAAAAGAATTTGATATTTCTAGTCAACACAATTTTTTCGTCTGTAAACTCCGACCGAAAGTTTTGGTTATTCGTCGACTACTGGACTTGATCTTGTTACAGAAACTGTGTTTTGCATGCATATCCGTTTTATATATGTGGCTTATTTGGTTCCTTGCCTCTTAGACAGATCCACTCCGACTTCGAAAGTAGCACCCCAAATTTACAAGCAGACCCGCCAACACTTGGAGTTACCAATTATGAAGAGACGACTAATCATGCAAATAAATGGAGGTAGGCGATATCTGCAACAATGAACCTCAAGGGTTCGGAATGCCGAAGAAGACGGAAAAGACGATTAGATACTCACATCAGGTCAGGTCTGAAACGATGGATCAAAGCGCAAAAAGCCATCCCGTCCCTCCAGGCGGTGGTAAAGTTGGCAACATCTACGTGAGCATACCCGTCGGTCATGCGCCGACACCACAGCTGCAGCCCTTTGATTTTCGTTGCCGCCATTCTGGGTGTTCTTGTCAAACGACAGTCAAACCAACATGGCTGTATTGCTGGTGACTATGGGATTTTAGTGAGATCCAGTACCTGGGTGAAGATAAAATATTCAGTGTAATGATAACTAGAGTATATGTCACAACAGGATATACTTGTTTAAACTGAATATAGGGGAGCTGTCGTGGTGTAGCGGATAGACGCTCGCCTGTGATCGGAAGGTAGTGAGTTCAGGTCTTGATAAAACAAACTTTTTTTTGGCTCTCCTTGCAATACCGGTCGCTAGTTGGATGGCGACGACCGCTTAGTCGGAGTTCAGACGCCTGGCTGCAGTTCAATTACGGAGTGGAAAAGAGGGAACGACACAAATGACATAATAAGGGCTAGGGGTAGGGTTAGGGTTTGGGTTAGGGTTGGGGTTAGGATAATGTGAGTCGCAGCGCTTGGTCTAGACGCCATGTTGAACTCACTGTGTTTTGTGATTCGTGCCTTGTCCACTCCGTAATTGCACTGCAGCCAGGGGACTGAACTTCGACTAAGCGTCCGTCGCCGTCCAAGTAGCGACCGTTATTGCAAGGAGAACATTTTTTTTTTCAAAAATGACCATGGCTCCCAGGTGGTACCTGGTGCCGTTCTGGGAAGTAAAGGTGGCCGGCGTGATGTTGACCACAACATCCACCGAATGACGATTGGCCTATAAAATGATATCACAAAAAAATTTTCTGTTTGTTTTGAAATGATTCCCCCCTCATGGGTTGCGGATTGTAGGATTAACATCTCACAGACAAGAATCAAACCGAAGAAAGTCTCAGAAACCAACTAACCGTACTACACGGCTCTGCAGAAGTGCCTCGTACAGCTAAGCAGTACCCTGCAGTCCCGCGTGGCTGGGTAGTTCAATGACAAAGTCATTATTCACATTTCTATTGGCTTGCTTGGAGAGGGGGGGGGGGGGTCCGCCACGTTCAGTCAGCATCCCAGAAGGGAGAGGGAAAAGGGGGGGGGGGGGCTTTCGTTATAATTGTGACTAGGTTATGAGCCCCAAACAAAATGGCTTAGAGTTGCTCGCCACCAAGTAGTTCTGAAAAGAACTCCAGCAGTATTGATGCGATCACAGGAGACAGACCCTAATAATGTTTCGATCGGCGACTTATTCACATTATGCTTGACATTATTCACTAGACAACGAAAGATGTTATGTTTGCCCTTGACCAGCGGCTCTCAACCTGTAGGTCGCGACTTTTTGTGTGTGTGTGTGTGTGGGTCATATGACCCTTTCACAGGAGTCGCCTAAAACCATCGAAAATTGCCCGGCTCGCTAGCGTAGTTATCTAAATCAGATTGCGCAGTGATCGGGCGAGGAACTCCTTGTGGTCCGGGTTCACTCCCGGGGGTAGGCAGAAAAGCCATATTTCTCCCAGACTTACGGTATTTATCATGGAATCAAGGCGGAAGGGTTGCGATATCCATAGTACCGAGCCTAAGGGTTAACAACTCATGGCTTATGGATACTGGAAAAAAAAAAACCCATCGAAAACACATATTCACTGAAGTTATGAAGTAGCGACAAAAATAATTGAATGGTCGAGGGTCGCCACAACATGATGAACTGTATTTAAGGGGTCACGGCATTAGGAAGGTTGAGAACCACTGACCTAGACAGAAGCACAATGTCCATCACTTTTCCGGGGATTGAAAGATCATTGGTAGGCTCACAATAGCGGCACCAGATTAAACGAAAAAGACGCTGGCGTTGGATAGGGCAAATACTGAGAAAACAGGAGAACAGCATAACTAGAATGTCTTTGCATTGGAACCCACAGGAGCATAGGAAAAAAGGAAGGCCAAAAAACACATGGAGAAGAGAGCTGGAGAATGAGGTTAGAAAGATTGGGAAGACATGGGGAGAGCTCCATGCAATGGCGAAGGATAGAACGACTTGGCGTGAGTTGGTTGAGGGCCTATGCTCCATTGGGGGATAGAAAGGCAGAAGAAGAAGAAGACTGTTTGAAACAAAAATATACCGCTTTCAGCTCTGTGAAGCATAAAATGGTTGAAACGTCTCTCTCTCTCTCTCTCTCTCTCTCTCTCTCTCTCTCTCTCTCTCTCTCTCTCTCTCTCTCTCTCTTGTCTTCCTCCCTCTTCATAAATCATATTTCCTGCACCGCCCCCCCCCCCCCCGTTTTGTCATCCTTGCTATCCTCTCTTTTTTTCTTATGTCCTCTCCCCTCTCTATACATCGTATTTCCTGCAACAACACTTTTTCTCTCTCCTTGCCAGTCCTATCCATCCGATTTCTCTCTTTCCCCCCCCCCCTTCTCTCTTTTTCTCTCCCTCTCTCACTCTCTTTCTGCACTTCATTACTTGCTGTCTCTCTGCTTTGCTGTCTATCCCACTCTTATTTTCTCTTCCGCCTTATTCATCCCCTGTCTCTTCCTCCACTCTCTCCCAGCCCCTCTTTCGCTTTATCCCCAGCAGTTCATTTCCCCAACAACCCAAAGATGAAGTAACAAACTGATGAGCTGACCCCAATGTACGCAAACAGTCCAGCTATGTGCCCCTGACTACATGCCTCTCTCTCCAACCATAGCTTTGATCCCGAGCAAATATGTGTAGTGTAATTACCAAATAATGAGACAACAGAAGAACCGTTCAGGGAAGACTCTGTGTACAGACATTAACTGACACGACAAATCTTCTTTTTGTAGTCCCTGCCGTGTGGCGTTGGTGGTCACATCTAAACACAACCTTCTGTCTCGTGAGCTTTCAATTAATAATAAAACGTGTGCTTTTTTACGCCATGATGTAGAACTGTTGAGCATCTTCTCTCTCTGTCTCCATCTGCTTCTTTTCCCCTCGAATTTTACTTTTCTAAACTACAGTGGAACTGTTCGTCTTTTTCTTCTTCGTCTTTGCCTTTTTTTTTTTCCTATTTTCGCCTCCTCCTTCTCATTTTCTTCTTCTTCTGGAAATATGATGTTCATGCATTATGCATAACCCGCTGCACAGAGCAAGCTGGCCAAGTGAGATATTATCTAATACCGCGACACTGATCCTGTGGATTTTTAAATGATTTAAAAAAAAAAAAATGGTGGGAATGATGGCGAGGTCTGAAGCTGAACAATAGATGTGTCATCAACATCGCGTCATCTTCAACTTCGCCATCATCTTCATCATCAGCATAATAATCTTCTACTTCTTTTTCATTTTCTTCTTTTTTCACTTTCTTCTTCTTCTTTTACGTTCGCCCTTACAGGAGCGATTGGCACGCTGTATTGTGGCATACACCTAGGCTGTAATATGAGCGACTTTAGGTCCAACACATCCGATTCAGCCAGTCCTTAAGTAATCGCCATTTGTGTTAGGCTTTTCAAAGGCCCTTGGTCTATTATAACCGCGCGCCCCGCCCCCCCCCTCTCCCGCCCTCTGCGCGTCTCAGAAGAAGCCCGTTAACTACATGCAATGACAACAACGGTCCTGAGATATCGTGCTAGTAATTATGGAGAAGGAGGCCGAACGTCCAGAAAGCAATGGCAAACTATTGGACGTAAATTTGCCTAGAGAAACCACAACAGCCAGGGGCTGCTGGGGTTGGTTCTGCAACGTCCTGTAAAAGGATACGCAACTAACCTAATTATGGAGAACTTCTCCATCGCCATGGGCTGTGGTTTCACTACCTCCCTACAGACTACACATAAATGAACAGAACGGAAATCCTTAAAGCCGCATAAATATTATAGATATATAATTAATAAAGAGACAATGTATTGATTGGTACTTATAGAAAGAAGTAGAAAGATAGAAGAACTCTAGACAACATAAAAATCGAAAGCTAAATTTGCCGTGCCGGGAATCGAACCTGTCACCTCCAAACGGTATTTGCGCCTCGCTGTGGAAACAAGCGTACTGAGAACATTGTAAAGCTGACATAAACTACCGGTGTTTTCTTACCCCTTTTTCTTCTCTTCCCTATAATTTCCTACCCATTTTTTAAAACTTCGAGAAAACCTTAAGTGTTTGTCTGTACCGTGAAGATACGGTATTCTTCACATCCTTAACAATACTGACAGATATTGGCACTGATATTGTAATTTCTATCACACTTTGAAAGCTTCAATTTGAAGCCCCTCACAGAAAACAAAAATACTCAAAGCAGTTAGGTACTATTTAACTAGCCGCCTTCAAATGACGATCGTAAATCGCTAAATAAAAATGTGAACTGGAAAAAAAAAACAACGACCAAATATTCGCTATTTCTGACAATTAGGACAGAAGGCTACTAACTCACTCATTCACTGAAACAGACTGGGCAGTGGGGCTGAGGAGAAAGAAACAGGCAGAGAGACAGGCAAAGAGAGAGAGAGAAAAAGAGAGAGAGAGAGAGAGAGAGAGAGAGAGAGAGAGAGAGAGAGAAAGAAAGAAAGAGAGAGAGAGAGAAAGAGAAAGAGAAAGAAAGAGAGAGAGAGAGAGAGAGAGAGAGAGAGAGAGAGAGAGAGAGAGAGAGAGGTAGAGGTTTGAAATGGTTTAAAGATGAGAAGTTAGCCCATTGTTATACTGCACATCTATCTCACCACGGAAGTCTTTGATTAACAGTATGATCCTCATCGTGCTTTATTTTTATGTTCATTATCGATTGTTGCCCTCATTATATAAAGTCACAACAGAAAAATATTTTTTGAACTCTTTAACCACCACCCCACTAGTATACATGTATATTCTCTACTGTTCCCTATTCTGGCGTGTTCAATGATTATCTACAATGACACACATAATCAATGAAAACATCTGCGGCCGCAAGCTAGGTCACGTGATAGCTACTTTCGACAGGAAACATCCATAAACTGGCAAGGGAAATAGCTGGTAAACAACAAAAGCGACAAGGGTGCTGACGAAATGAATACATGGGAGATCTCACAGCTCGTTGAGACGTATTATGGGCGGAAGGGGGGGGGGTGTGGGACACTGACGAGGACCCAGCCTTGTTTAAATGCACAAAAACAAATACAGTGTAG